GGTCCGGGTTGTGCCTCCACCCGGGCTGTTGTGTGTGGTGAGGCGGTGTCACCCCGGGGCACCCTTCAGCAGCTGGTTGTTGCCTCGTAGCTCTGTTTGCCCCGCAGCGCCGCACGGAGTCCCCGCTGGTGTGATGCCTTTTGCTTTTCCTAGGTTGGAAATTGGCGAAGCTGACTTCGTCCTGCTCTGCGATGCTCTAAAAGTGTCGGACAGCGTGAGGGAGAAAGCGTGGAAGACCTACGAGAGCTTATCGGCTGTGGATGGAGCTCTAGTGAGTACCTGCTGCTTGTAACTCGTGCCTCTGTTGTGGCGTCTGTCCTGTGCCTGAGTTGAAATACTGAACTGTAACTTTGCTGGACCGGGGGTCAAGTGTCTCACAACCAAGGCTTGTATGGTAGGACTTAGTCTAAGTGCAGTTGAAGTCGGATGTTGCCGTGTTTGTGTCTATATAAACTGCTTTCTATATCTCTCTCTTTTTTGTTAATGTTTTCCAGTAAAGGTACAGACTCAAGAATTCTTTTAGATCACTAATAAATGACAGTAGAAAACAATACCACGTGATCAGCTGATTCTTCAAACCACAAGTTATTTCAAATATGCCTGAGTCAGCTTTATACGGGTCATCTCATTGTGTGTTTCTGTGTATTTCTTTCTGCTACATCTTTCTTTATGAGGCTGCAGAAGGGGTCTGGAGAAGACTGTTGTAGAGAAAGGCATGCTTGTATGTTAAACTCTTTTTCTACTGCATAATGTTAATCTGTATGTACTTATCGTTGAGGTATTTCCGTTCAAAGTTAGTCATTGGGCATGTGTAAACAGATTAAAATGTTATGCCCTTTCCTGATTTCTTCCGCCCCCCCGCCTCCTTCTCCATGTGTTACTGCTGTCTCAACAAGCTGACTCAGAGAACAGCTACAATAAAATTAAATCATGACCAAAGCTGTGTTACACAGATCTGAATTAGATTTAAAATATCTAGCTGGAGTGTTATTCCCACTGTGTGGGCCAGCATCCATGTATTTGTTGCGATATCTGAGTATTCTTCTGCAACTTGAGCTGACCTGCCACAGCTATGCTGTCACTAGTAATACCTTGTTGTCTGTGGTTTTTAAAGCCCAGTATGGGTATACCAGCTCTTAATGTGTTTGGGTTTTGCAACACAATACAGTAGCAGCCTGGGAGAGAGACTGTGTTCAGCTCTTTTGGTAACAGATACAGTTTCTGGCCATGGGTGTTCCCAGGGAATGTTTACTTAAAAGCACAGTCGAGCTCCTCTACGTGAACTAAAATAGGAGTAGTCATTTCTAGTGAGTGAAAAAAAGCAAGGCAGGTTTCAGTATAATTCTGCAAACTTCACTCATAGATTAAACTTTATTTTCATTATTCATTATTTCATATTTCATTACCTAGCAGTGGCCAGATAAGATACAGGGTGTTTGAAATCCTTTCTTTCTGCATCTGAAGATCACCTTGTTTACCTATTCAGAACAGGGCAATAACTAATCTTCATTATGATGTAGCTAATATTTATTATCTTGCAATTAAGGCCTATGTAAAGAGCCTTTCAAGATATAAGAAAAAGTTTATATTACATTGTGGTTCAATCCAGTGCCATTTCCTCAGACTTTCTGATGTGTCAGCAAGGTGTTCAAGTGAGGAAGCTGGCAAGCGTGTGCCTCCACAGGACCTCGCAGGCAGGAGTCGCTACTTCTAGCTGAGACCAGTGCAGGCTTCACTTGAGTGTGAAGTCAAGTGAATTAACAGCCTGGCTGATTGCTGCTTTTCTGTCCAAGTCAAGCTGTTACCGTGGGGAGCCTGGCTTCTCAGGGTGACTCTCTGGTTCAGGTTGCAGGGACTCAGGAAGAGTCTGTATTTAAATGCTGACTCCTTTCTCCCCTCTGGTAAAGGTAATGTGTCGGAGGGGCTGTCCCAGTGTTTGTCTTGCGAGCATCAGGTGTGTGTGTTTTAGTCAATGTGGTTCAGTGCTAACCTGTTCAGTTCTGAACTGGAACAGAAGCTGCTTATGTAGCAGCTTTCTGTTCTCAACCAAAAAGGGAAATAGCAGGACACCACTTGAGACAAATACCTACCAGAACACTTCTGTTTAACCCTGTAATTGGGTTTGGCTTGAGAAAGTTTAAATCATCAGATCACTGACAGAAACATGGGTAGCATCTAATTAATGATCCCACTCTCAAGCTATCTACAGAGCATAAGGACCTGAAGCCTTGCTTTCCCTTTCCCTGGCCTTATTCTTTGGGGCTGATCTCAGAACTGTGCCTGCCAGGCCTCTGAGAGTATGGAGAGGACTTGTAGTGCTAACTAGGAAGTGACGTGGCCCAGACATTAGGTGCGGTGTGTGATGACTGGCAGAGATGCAGGGGGCAAATGTGGGCTTTGAACTAGTCTGAACACCTGCTGTATCCCTGCTCAATGAATATTTAGTGACTTAAAGTGAAAACATCTCAGTACTCTCCTTTTTTGGGTCACTTAGGGTATGTGTAATCATGTGCAAAGAGACTTTGCAAATAAGCTATATACAGCTTAAAAGTATAAAGCAATTATTTTTGACACACACACAAAAGACTGCTAGGATGTAGTGACGTATCAGCCTCAGTGTGCCTGTACTTCAGTGAGACACCTAAAGAGTCTTTGCTGGCCAGGCAGGCATCAGTCAGGAGGAGAAAAGTAGGTGTCTGCTGCTCCCTGGAATGAGTCCTCTGTGCCAACACCTGCTGAAGTCAGTGGCACCACCAAAACTGGCTGACTCATTGCTTTTTCCTTCAGGATGTCGCACCTTTCCACACTAGTATTTTTACTTTTGAATCTCTGAGCTACTAGTGATCCTACTTCTCTCTGAAATTTCACCTTTCTTATCTTGCATAGCTCTGCACTCTGGCTTTTCTTACAGTGCTCTCAACTTACTTGTTTCCGCAGCAATTTGAGTCGAGGATATACAGCTGCACCCTCTCACAGCTGGGCCTTGAATCCTTAAAAGAGTTGAACCCCCCTGTGAGCGGTGTGTGGAGGAGGAGAAGGGCAATGAGAGATATGCTTACATGATCTTTCTGGAAAATGAGGCTGACTTGTAGTTGGAAAAACTAGACCTGCAGAGAGAGATTGTTCAAAGAACTACAACCATGTTAAAGACAGTGGTGTTCTCCTTCATAGCTGGAGAACATCAAAGCTTTCCTCTGTGACAGACTGAGTTTAATTACTCTCTTCTACAATAAGATCATAACTCAAAATCTCTTAGACAAAACCCCAAACCTTGGTTCCAGAAATGTTGTACTGAATCAGTGCTGTTGATGTATGGTGTGAAGGAAGGTATCTGATGCAGGACCAGAAAGATGTTTTATTTTTACATTCTTTTTGTATCTGGTGAACTCCCCCACAAGTTTATTGGAAACATGGAAGTGTATATATAATCAAGAGCTTTTGCATTAGTGTCATACAAAGACTTTTGTTCTTTCTATTGTTTCTCTTGTTTACCAAAGCAAGCTACCGAGGTAAACAAAATGTTTGTTTTAGAATTGTAGATTTTACTGCCTTCATTTCAAAACTCTTAACACACCGACAGTTGTTGGCTTAAAAATTTGCTCTGATGCTTGCTTCTCTTGTATTCTTAATGTTTTGTAACTGTCCTGAAATCTGTATTATGAATTGGTAGTGCCTGTAAACTCTAGATGGAGTAAATAGATTTAGTGGAATTGCTGATGTGCTTTGGTGAGCAGCATGTGATTATTGGTGTAAGAAAGACTAGGAGAGGTCCAGAAGTCATACTAATACTGCTAGGAAAAGTTCGGGGCATTTGTTATGTTCTGCTACTGTTTGTTTTGGAAAAGAACAACAAAATGAGACTCTGAAGTAGGATATTGGGTGATATAAGCAGGAAAAAGAAACTTGAATGAATTGTTGCTTAATATATTGGAAAGAACCAATGTGAGGAACAGATGACATGGTGACTAAATTGGAACCAAACATCTGCAAAGAAAATTGAAGTGGTTTGGGAAATTGATAGAAATTAGAGTCTGCATTGGACCTTGAGGCATAGGGTCTGGTGTGCTTCAACCTCATCAGCCCAACTTGCTGTAGTATGTGATGTGTGGGTTGGACCTTCATTTTTTGTTTGCTGTTCATAGCACTGTTTGGGAAATGTGGCCCACTCTTCTCCTACAGAGGCTCAGCTGTTCAGGCTCATGAATTCCTGAGTCGTTTTTATCAAAGTATCTGTCTAATTTGCTGTTAAAAAATTCTGGTGATGAAGGATCTGCAGTCTGCATAGCTAGTCCTTCCTAGTTTAACTTTCTTTGCCCGTTAATTTTTTCCCCAAGTACTACACTAATCTGTTTCTGTGTTATAATTCAAGCCAGTCAGTGGTGATTATTCTGTATTGTTGCTGCCTTATTTTTTTTTTTTTCCCCAGAAAGTGTCTAGTGTCTGAAGATGTTTCTGTCATCTTCCCTTGTTTCTAATTTCTCATCTTGCATTCTGAAATTCTCTCCAACTGGTGACTTATACTGGTATGCAGATGCTGCAGAGCACTTGATTTGCACAAGAGTTGAACTGTATTCTTAGTGAAGAAAACTTAAAAGATGAACTGTAGCTTAAGTAGAGGAATGAAATAGCGAGTTCTTAAATATAGCAAAGTTGCTCTATATAGACCAAAAGGTTAATAATCAGCAGGTCGAGTGTTCCCAATCCATAACATTTCACATTTTAAGTAACTCAGTTCCTTTTGGTTGTAGTTTCTTAAGTGAAAGAAAACATTGTAGTTGGTAAACCACCTCATCCTCATGTTAAAAGACATGCAGAGCCTTCTTGCTTTTGGCAAAAGCATGACGTGCATATGAGCTAATAAAGTCTTCTATGTCTAGAGCTTTGTCTCTTATTTATTGAACTGCAGCCAAACTGAACCTGAATCCACTGAAGCTTTGGATGGGCGAAATGACAGATAGTTTAGGATCCTCTGTTATCAAACAAAAACCAAAGAACTACTGAAAGTCCCAAAGCAAACATAAGTCATCACTGTGGCTTCTTGCTGGTGATATTCAGTATCTCAGTAGTAGATGCATTGGGTGTATGTGTTGTGCCCTTGCACTTTAAAAGCATAGCTAACTGGTGTACGGTTTCTTTTTTTTTTTTCTCCTCATTTTCTGCCCATTCCGGGGACAGATTGATGTCCCCTTCAGCCTCGCTACATGCCAGAAAAGTATAATGGGAATTTTTCATATCAGAAGAACTATTTTCATCAGTTCAGTGCTTTCCATTGACTTCCATTACTTTTAGCTAGTATTATATGGACATGGACCTGTTGGAGCAGGTCCAGAGGAGAGCCACGAAGATGATCAGAGGGCTGGAGCCCCTCTCCTATGGGGACAGGCTGAGAGAGTTGGGGTTGCTCCGCCTGGAGAAGAGAAGGCTGCACGGCGACCTTATTGTGGCCTTCCAGTATCTGAAGGGGGCCTACAAGAAAGATGGGGCGGGACTTTTTACAAGGGCATGTAGTGATAGGACCAGGGAGAATGACTTCAAACTGGAATACGGTAGATTTAGATTAGATATTAGGAAGAAACTTTTCACCATGAGGGTGATGCGGCACTGGAACAAGTTGCCCAGGGAACTTGTGTCTGCCTCATCCCTGGAGATGTTTAAGGCCAGGCTGGATGAGGCTTTGAGCAACCTGGTCTAGCGGGAGGTGTCCCTGCCTATGGCAGGGGGTTGGAACTAGACAATCTTCAAGGTGCCTTTCAACCTAAACCATTCTATGATATCTGAATTTGATTTAATCTGTTGAGAACTAATAGCAGTCTTCCATTCCAGACAGTGTTCAACAGAATATTTAAAACTGTTATTGCTGAAAAATGGAGATGGAGGATCTAACTGTCTTTACACAGAACATCTTATATGTAGACAGTGGGCACAGTATTCACTTTCAGATATTTATTTTTTTTTTCTGGGAAACTTTTCCTACAAGTTTTAATTCTGATCAGTTTTCTTTTGTGAATGCTTCCTGATTCTTTTTCCCTACCATCTTTCCCCCCCGTAATCATAAGCATATCTGTGAATGTTTCTTGTACCATCTGGCTAGTTCTCTATATTGGTTAGAACGTGGTAGCTGAGGTTTTAGTAAGCTGACAAGTTCCACATCTTCCCCTTCAAAAATTAAGTTTTTGATATTTACACTGTGACATCCTATATCCTGTTTGATTCATACCCATCCATGTTTGCGTATTTCTCATGTGCATCTCTCTTGACCTTCTTTTACACAACATTGTTTGAAGTTTCTATTCCTGGATCACTTTTGTAGGCTGTCATCAAAACTGTTATCAGTGTTGGCAGAATAATAAACATCTCTAACTGCAAACTAGAACTGAGACTTCCTGTCGCTATCTCCTCCTTGTGACTGGTTTAGCGCTGGAGAACCTCTTGAGGTAGAAAACAGAAGATATTTCTGTTAGTGCATTTAACACTTTGCAATAACATCTAGAAAAAAGAGAGGCAAGAATCCCATTTCACAATAGTTCAGTTGGATGAGCATTTTAAGCCTATGACTCCTCCAGGCTGTTTTCACTAGACTTAGGCAAACTGATGATCTGCTAAAAATATATTAAATAGTAGTAATAGTAAGTCTAGAATGAGAAATAAATATTTTTAAAGACTTTGTAAGAGTTTTAGATATTTTCCTACAGAAAACTATATTGATTGAAGAGATCTGACCTACGTAGCCCAAAGTTATAGCATTTGTTCCCCAGAATCCTACATAAAAAAGAAAGAAATCGATGTAGACTACTAGGTGCTAAATAATCTTTGAATCGGGGTTTAGTAGGCTTTGATTCATGATGATTTGAAATCGGGTCACTGGAAGTCATCTTGTTGAAACTGACTGACAGCCAAGGACAGGTGTTGAGCCGTCATTCTGCCTTTTTTTATGTAGTGGTCCTGTGTCAACAAAGATCTTGAGTCAGACTATAGTCAAGAAGAAAACCCTCAGAAATGAATTTCTGGCTGTGAATTTGTCTTGCATCCATTCCCATGCCCTCAAGTCCATCTGGGATGAATCGTCTGGCTTTGGCTGTAAACAAACCGCTAATTTGTGTCATAGAATTGGCTCCCCTGGAGTTATGACACTGACAAAATAGTTGAGCAGAGTGATGCTGCTGCATTTTTGTTCTGCAGTCAGCTTTAACTCATTTGTATAGGAAAAAACTTGAAAAATGTCTGTGAGTTTTGGGAGGGAAGGGGTACAAAGAGGAGAATACTCAGGAGTCTGAGTTGCCAGGAAGACCTCTCCTTATCTCTTCTTGCCTTCTGCCCCACGATGTTTATATTCTGTGTATTAAAATCACTGAAATCTTAATGCATGGGTATGGGCAGATGGTTTTACTTCTGAGGAAACTGCAGTTTACCTGTGTCTTTGGCTGTTTTAACCAGCAGTAGCTTGTGGGATAGTCACAGTCTGGTGTTCTGTCATGTGTTGCTCTCCTCCCTCGCTCAGCTGATGTTAAGAGGTGGGCATGCTCAAGTGCTGCTCTCCTTTTCTTTGCTACTAGAAAAAAATCATAATCTATCTGTTTATCCTGGGTGCTGTGTAATTTTTTTTTTGTTAGGCTAGCAGTCATCCAACATCTTCTGTCTGGTTGAGGAGAAGGTGCCCAAAGCATCATGCAACACCAGCAGTGGATATGGGATAGTCCTGATATTAGAGTTTGACTCACTGTAATGGTTTGAATCTAGTGGACTGACAGGCTGCATCTGAAGCTGCCATCTTGTTTAGTAGTAGAAATAAATAAGTTGTTAGCCCAAACTATACTGGATAAGGAGTTTAAAGATTGTTCTTGCAAAACCACACCTCACTCTTACCAAATAAACAATTGCTATAGCCTTCAGGCATTCATCCTCCCTGGGTGAAGCTAAGCTGCCTAGGAGAGCTAAGCTTGTTTGGATAGGCAGCAAACCAGGAACAATGTCACCACTTCCTGGCAGTCAGTCCTCCTGCCCTACCAGATGTATTTACAGAACAACTTTGTGGTCCGAGTTTGCAGGAGCATGAAGTGAAGGGAACTTGCTCATTAAACAATGTCAGCTAACTCCAGTGGCAGTGGTGTCCTCGGTACGTAAGTAGTCATCCTTCTTCTTGGTAGGTCACTATCTAGCCTTAACCTTCAAAACTTTTTACAATGCATAACAGATATATTAATGCACGAAAGTAAACATCCCCATCCCACAGGACATTTTTTGTTCTTATGTGCCTGGTAGTGTGTTGTACCTGTCGGCAAAGGATTGTTGAGACTGGCTGAGACAGTGGAAGCGCACCTCTTAGCAAAGCCTTTCTTCTGTGCAAGACCACCTCAGGAGCAATTTTTTTGCCTCATCTTTAGGTTGCTGGTGGTGTGTGATGGTATACAAAAGATCTAAAAAGCGAGGGTTTCCAATAAACAAAGAGACGGTGGCTATTTGACATTAATATCCATTTCTTTATGTATCATCAAATACATCTCAGTGTGTTAACACCTTCTTTCAAAATAATTTTCTGTTGTACAAGGTGTCATGATTCATGGAAATGCTCAAGTAGGAATGCAGGAAGAAAACAGTAACTTAAATAATGGACAGTTACCATGTTGTTGAAGGTGGCTGGTTACTTTAGCATTCAAGCCTGTACTATAGCTCTTACCAATTGCACAAACCAATGAAACTTTTCATTCTTTGGAGGAGACCCCATCCAGTCTTCATGGATGTATAAGCACTGGTCCAAAGAAAGACAGAGCAATTGCCAAAAAAAAAAAAAATAAATAAATTGTTGGCAGTGTTAGTGAAATTGTTGTATTGTTTATGGGCATGGCGAGCTATTTGTCATGGTTATGCTGCTGAATAAATGAGGACACGAGTGTGTGCTAAGAGTGCAAAGCTTTTTGGGATAGTTTTGGAAGACCGTGTAAGATGGAGAGAGCCAAGTCTGATGCAGTCTTATTCCTATGGCCTTTCAGGAGTGTTTTCTAGAGTGAACTGGCCCTTGTGGCTCACACTGGTGTTGTCTGGGAGGCAGCTAGGTGGAGTGATAAAGTAGGCCAGGGAGTGGCTAAAACTAAGCAGTGTAGAAGAGCAGGAGGTCGGTATTTCAGCTCCCTCGCTCCTGCGGGTCTGTTTCACCTTCATCCTCTAACAGGTGTCACATCCAACCTAGAGCTGCTGAGAGACACACTGAAATGCTGCTCCTTTGCTGAAGTGGCAGTGGGCCTGGGCGGTGTTGGAGAATTATTTACAAGGGTACCAAATGTCTGAAGAGTATTTTAAGAGTTTGCTGTTTTAGGAGTCTTGCAGGGCTTCACCCACACCTAGTTCCGTCTTCAAAACAGCTTTGTTTCCAAAACCTGTGGTATACCTGCTTAAGTGTTTTTTTTTCCTTCCATGCTTCTGCAAAACATTGCTTTTCAGAGGTTTTCTGTTGAGATGTGCTTTTGGTGGAAGGGTGCCAGAATTGTAACTGATGCCTGGCTGGCTCCAAGTGACTAGCTTGTGAATTGTCAAGAGTGAATTCCATGTGGGTGGCAAGTCTGTCATGGTGGGATGGCTTTTCTTTGGTGAAGTATGATGGGTTACAGCTTGTACCTTACTTCTAAGCAGCAGAAGACAGACCTTAAGTGTTAATGTATGGTAGGAAAATGCTTGAAGGTGCTTGCAACTGTCATGCTCTACTAAACAGAGAGGTGGGTTTGTGGTTCGGCTGTGATAAGTGGTTGAGACCTAGCTGGAGAATAAAGTTCATGAGTATTTATTGCCTGTCTTTGTAATGATTTTATATTTCTTACGGCTTCTCTCCTGATTCCTTAACCTTCAGTGTCGTGTTATGGTCAAATATAGTAACTTCAAAAAAAAAAAAAAAATCATGGTGTCTGTTTTGCATAAACGTTCTGTGGAACCACAGCTTCTGTTTTGAAGCTTTGCTGAATTGTATGGGTAAAATTGATCTTGTACTCTAGGAATAAGTGCTGAAGTGCTTGGTCTTTCATCTGTAATGTAAAACTTGTAAGAGTTTTCAGTTATCAAATAATTAGCTATCATAGTCAAATGTTTGCTTGAGTGTGTTTTGTTTTACCATTTCTAATCTAGTTTGGACAAATTAATGCTTTCCATATATTACCCACTTTATTGCATAATAAAAATAAACACTGTGTTCTCTTTTTCCAAAAGGCTTATAACAAAAAGAAAAAGGAAACATGGGGAGTCTGTATCTTTATTGTAGCAATTGATCTGGATGACATGACATTCACTTTCACAGAGCTTCTGAAAAGTATAAACATCAGGTAAGTGAATTTAAGTGTGGTTTCAAAATTTAACTGGTCAACATTTTTTATAAGGAGAATGTTTTTAAAGCATTGTGAGTCTTTGTGCATATCAGGCTAGTTGATTTTAAAGTGAAGGTTCCTTATGGGAATTCTGAGTATTTTGGTAAACTAGGAGTCTTGCTATCATATTTTAGCTGAAGGAACAATGATATTTGTTTGATTCAACTGTGATTGGCTTTGATTGTATCACACAGTTGATTCTTGTTCTTGCTCAACCTAAGTCTTCATCAATTTAACTTGGTGTAAATTACACTTAAAATATTTCCTTTCTTTCCCTTTATCAAGATTTTATATAAAACCTTTTTTTCCAAGATTAGGCTTAGGCTAAATAAAGAAATGGAAAAGAATACTACTCTTCAAATCGTTTGCCAGCATGCTGCTCTTTCAGATGTTTTAATGCCAGTCTAAATTTTGTACTTATGTACATGTTTTTTGCTAGGGGATAATTAGTGTTATATTGTATATTCACTAAGTTCATAATATGAAAAGTAAGATTGTAAAACAATACCTACTTTTAAGGTAAATTTAGGTGGCAACAGCAATCTTGTGTTAGATTCATCAAAGGAAAGGATTCCAGTGTCATCTGATTAATAACTGTGCCGAGCGTCGAAAGCATGTGCTGGAGCAGAGCCTTTGGGTGTTCTAGGGCAGGAGGCTAAGGCAGAATAGCAGACATGTCATGGTGGTAACCCCAGTCTTGGGGTTAAGTATCTTTTTCTTGGAAGTCTTCAGTTATGATTAGACTTGTGTATGCTGCTTCTGCCTTGCATCGTCTCTCAGAGCAGCAGTCAGGTCCGATGTTTCGACTTAATCTCCTCAGTCTTGACTGAATTGGAACCACGTGGATGAAATCTAATTGCATTTGTGCAGCGATGCTCAGCATTTTCCACCTGAGTACAGACCAACTTGTGCTGCAAACTGAAAGAGACTTTTTCCCTTGGGGTTTCAAAGAGTAAGCTATTACTCTGCCAATTTTTATTTTAGCAATACTCAATTGCTTGTTAGCCCTGGGCTTTTTGTCAGCTATAAGGTCAATCTGGCAGAGATTGCTACCAGTCATCTTATCCTCTAGAGCCACACTGTTATATTGGAAAGATTTTTCTTTCCACAGTAAAAGAATTCCCAAACAAACTTCTGACTGTTGTTATATTCTGTTTTTCAATCTGACAAAGGTAAAAAAATAATCTCAGAATCTGATAAAGGATCAAAATATATTTGGTGTAGTTGAAATAGTTGAATATATTTGATAGCTTCCTTCTCCTTAGTTTTTAGTTATCTGCTCATTTTTGTTATGAACAGAACAACAAAATGCTTTCTTGATGGCTGTAATACTGCATGGATGAGTAAGGAAGACTTTGGTCCCCTGTGTAATAGTATTGCCAAAGGGTGGTGCTGTCCTTGCCCCAAGTGCCCATTGAAAGACTTGAAATTTCATATAATTCACAGAATCACAGAATTTTCATAGTTGGAAGGGACCTCTAGAGATCATCTAGTCCAACTCCCCTGCTAAAGCAGGATTGCCTAGAGCACATTACTCAGGACTGCATCCAGGCGGGTTTTGAAAATCTCTAGAGAAGGAGACTCCACAACCTCCCTGGGCAGCCTGTGCCAGCGCTCTGTCACCTGAACCGTAAAGAAGTTTTTCCGTGTGTAATGCATTCAATGCATTCATCTCAGTTTTCATTCCTAGGTCTCTCTTTAGCATGGATGGAGCTGAGGTTCATATTCTTACTTCTCTAAGAACATTTCTGAAGTAGAACTTTTAGCTAGAATGGAAGAGTCAAGATGTCTGTGTTGGATATTTGTGGTTTTACTGGCAGAGCAAGGAAGAAAGATGTGTCTAGTTAACAAATTCTGACTTCCAAAGATAATATCTGTGCTAGCCAAGAAAACTCTTTCTGTAGTAGAGGCCTGTGCTACGTGATTGAACAGTGTTCCTACATCTGGAAAATGTAAAGGTGGTATATGGGGCTCAAGGTAAGCAAGTAGTGTTTTCCAAAGCAAGGTTCTTAGCCACTGTTAGTTGTAGTAAGAATATGCTGGAGTCTAGTGAAGTAAGGCAGTGGGTTTTGGTGGGTTTTTTAAAGAGCTATTGCATAATGGTCATTCTCAGTTGTGATAATCTGGTATCTCTTTTCCTTTTTTTCAGTGTATGCACATTTTTTCAGTTTCTGAAAGAGGTGGATGTTAACATGGATACTGTAAGCACTAAAGTTGATAGCACTGTATCAAGGCTGAAAAAGAAATACGATGTATTACTTGCACTATACCACAAGTTTGAAAGGTAGTCTACATTTTTCACTTTGAAATGATGAATTCTTTATGTCTGTCAGCTTTTAAGTACTTGGATTTTTCAAACTTTGTATTAGAAGAGCCCATTTAAACTCTGTGTGCTAATATTTGCAGAACAGTGAAATGGAACTGTTTACATGCATTGAATAAACACATCTTACATTTTATTCTGTAACTATTACAAAGCTTTGTTAAACAATCCCCTTGCTGCAGTACAAACAATAGTAAGAGCAGCATGACAAGTGGTTGCTAGTCCCTTTAAGCTTTTTTCAAATACAAGGATTGGTTTACCTTTATCTAATATTTTTTTTACTTTAAGGGACTTCCCATTTTTACCTGCTCACACCTCCCCAGATCTTGATCCAAGAGTTTCTTTGTAAGGAGTTCTGGAAAGAAAAAAAGCACAAATAAGATAGGCTGTCTCTCCCAGATCTAGAACTGAAGGCTGTTTGTTCCAGTCTCTAGGGGCATTGCAGAGCCTGCTCTATTAGCAGTTCTCACTTGTAATCAAGGTAAACCTTCCCAAGTGCTTTAGCTGACCACACAACAAAAATCAAGGGGCGTTCTCTTTGTACGGAATAAATGGAATGTGCTTATGGCAGAGTGCTAAGAGCTTTCTGTGTGTAACTTGAAAATAAGGAGATCTCAAATGGATGCTTTTTTTGAGTTGCTGTTATTCCAAGGTGGTAAGTTGCCACACTATGCTTTAACATGAAGACAGAGATGATAAAGGCTTTACATCCTTTTACAGGCTAATGTGTGCTAGCATAGATGTGTATTGGCAAGATCTGATATCCTCTGAGGCAATTTTTAATCAGTCTGTGAAATTCTCTGTAGCATATACCAGTAGAAAACTGTTTCTTGTTATTAAACATTGATGCATCATTCCATGATGCTTGTATTACTTGATCCCATTGCTTCAGAGCACTGTGGTCACCTCTTGGTGGTTTATAGAATCAAGGCACAAATGTGATACAAGTTTTTTGTCTTTTCAAAGTCCAGTCAATCACTTACCGTTATCCTGGGTAATGTGTATATTACAACATTTTTGTAAAGTTTATAGTTGCCTTAAAGCTGTACAGTTCTATGAAAGTTGTAAATAATTTGGTTTTACCCATCGTAAGTCTTTTCTGCACTTAAAAGTGTCATTGCAGACTTACACAGGCATGTTTTGGTTTTTGTCCCTGCTCTAGCTCTTCTTCACTTGCTTACTTTTTCAAAACTTGTATTGCAGTAACAATTTTGTTGAAACAGAAAGATTTGAATTTGGTTTCCCCCTGTTTTCTTTTTGAATAAACTGGATTTATTTCTTGAAATTAGTGTGCCTAGAATAATTAGGAAGAAACATTGTCTCAAGGCTTGCAGTGACACTGCAGAAAGAGGAAGGATTTTAAAATGCCCTTTTATAGAGTGTACTGTGCAGCTGTAGGGCATACTTTGCTGTGTTCTACAAGCTACTGAGTAACAATGTACATACAAATCCTGTTTTTCTGGAAGAAAACAATAACAAATTTTATTATACCAAATTAAAATTGTTCTGCTGTGCAAGCTTTGACATAAGCATGCCAGCAACAGCATTATTCCAGCTCTGGCAGAGGGCTTTAATTGGTCTGCTAGTCTGTTCTCCAAGAGTCAACATTTTTTTTTTTAAGTTGTAATAATGTTTTGTGAAGCGACGTATTTTTTTACTATGTTGAAGTAAAAGACATTATACAGTTTGCTTTCAGAAAAATGTTTAAAGATAAGAATTTATTTTTATTTTCTAGGACTTGTGGCCTTATTTATCTGGAACAGCCCAGTAGTGAGTAAGTTTGACTTTCCTAAATTGTGTGTGTTAAGATAAGATGTGAAACGTGTCAGAATTTTTTTTTTTAACCTGTTAAGATTGACCTAAGTCATAGTATGTCATGTGTTTAATTTAGATTTAGTGGGGACTTTGAATTTCAGTGAGGGATGATGAAAGCCACAGAAGGGATATGTATATATTTGATCACTTCCTCCATGAAGGATTGCCACCCAATGGCGGGTGTCTCGGCATGGTGGAAACAAACATTTGGAGAGTGAGCTTCCTAATCTTAGCAACAAATGAATGGATGAAAAGATGCCTTAGCAACTCCCAAATGAGCTTGAGTTCATGCTGTGACTGGAGAATAGGGCATTAGTCAAAGGCAAAAGAGAAAACAGCTCGCAACAGTTAGGTGAATTATCTACATTCACTTTCTTTTCAAAGGATGATACAGATACTGCCTGATTCTTGAATGGCTTTATTAAGACTTCTTTTTTTCAAATGTGTAGTCATAATTACGTAGGGAAGGGAATGAGAGCTTTAATAAACTAAACTATGTGGGAAATGTTGGATGTTGTCTTAAATTGTTCCATAGACTGAAGCATGTTTTCAGAAACTATGTTTTGAATTACTACAGAGCTGTTAATGCAAAAACTTTAATTTTGTGTCTCTATAGGATTTCTGCTGAACTCAGTTCTGTATTAGTCCTGAAAAATTACTGGATTACTTTTTTGCTGGCAAAAGGTGAGTTTTGATTAAAAGGTGGTTATTTTAATGAATATTGTTGAAGTGAGTTCATTGGTTTGTTTTACGTGTCCAGTATGAGACTGGCATCCTTATTACAGATGTCCACAGTACAGGCCCAAGATGTTTTGATTCTGTGGCTTTTGTAACTACTCAGTAATATTTCTTTCTATACAGTTTTGCTATTCTTTTAATTTCTATTGCTTCCTGTGTATATTAATATATTTTTTTAAGCCTTGTAAGATTTTTTTTTTTACTTTGAAGGTTGATATTCTGTGTTTGAGTGTGTTCTGAGGTGCTTTATAATCTGCTAATATTTGAATGATGGATGATTACCTGAAAAGACTGGCAGAATTTTTAATCGGCTTATATATATTAAAAATATATAAATCAATTAAATATAATAAGAAGGTATTACTATACATCAAGTCTCTGAAGTTATGTATACTGCAATTCTTCCTTGAAAAGGCTGAAGTTCCGGTTAAAGCTGAGTGATGAAACAATTACAGTAGTCCATGGAGTTCTGTCTCATTGTACTATTTCTACGAAAAGGAATAAATCATGTATCTTAATTGCTGCTTACTCCAGGTCTGTGTTATCAGTGAAGTGTACACATCTGTGCAGTCAAAATTGGTTTTGGGTCAGCTGAGCTCCGTGGAGCTTTTTCACTAAAATTCTCTAAGCATAAACATAAAACAAAACCCAAAAAGTTTTTCTAGCCTGCCTTTTCATTGAGAATAAGGAAAGCTAAAATTTACCAGCAAATAGTTGAAGTCACAGGAAAGCCTGGGTGACGCTGGCTAATTCTGATAGAAAAGAAATACAAGAATCACATGTGTAAATAGAGCACAGGTAGTGGTAGTGATGCATGCTGTCTTGGGATGGCCCTGTAGATCTTCTCTGGCATATGAATGATAATTTGGGAACAGCTGGAATAATGTAGTTTTAAAAGTGCTTTTCGTGCTAAAATCTTTGTGACTTTAAAGTAATTTCATATAAACTTGACAGGCTGAGCATACAGTGTGATAGCATGTTTTGAATTTCTCGTCACTATATATTAGCAACTCCCACTTTATGAATACTTAGCGGCTTTCACAAAGCTTGAGTAAGACCACAAAAAAGAAAGGAAGAATTGTGCAGAAATAAGAGGTACATGTAGGTAAAATAGTCTATACAGTTACTGCACTACAGTAAAATAAAAAAGAAATCAGGAAGGAGCACCAAGAGGTAGGAATTTTGTGCACAGTAAATTTATTTATATGTATGCTATCTCTAAAGCAACAAACCTCTTGAGAATCATGAGTTTTAAAATCAGAGTGGTTTGGGTTGGAAGGGACCTTAAAGATCATCTAGTTCCAAGCCCCCTGCCATGGGCAGGGACACCTCCCACTAGACCAGGTTGCTCAAAGCCCCATCCAGCCTGGCCTTGAACACCTCCAGGGATGGGGCATCCACAGCTTCTCTGGGCAACCTGTTCCACTGCCTCACCACCCTCAGGGTAAAGAATTTCTTCCTATATCTACCCTCTTTCAGTTTAAAACTGTTACCCCTTGTCCTGTCACTACATGCCCTTGTACAAAGTCCCTCCCCATCTTTCCTGTAGGCCCCCTTTAGGTACTGGAAGGCCGCAATAAGGTCTCCATGCAGCCTCCTCTTCTCCATGCTGAACAACCCCAACTCTCTCAGCCTGTCCTCATAGGAGAGGTGCTCCAGCCCTCTGATCATCTTCATGGCCCTCATCTGGACTTGTTCCAACAGATCTCTATGTCCTCCTTATGTTGGGAGCCCCAGAGCTGGACACAGTACTTGATATGAAATCAATAGCCTTTAAAGAACAGTGGCGTCCTGTATGATGCTTTCTGAATTCTAAAAGTAGCAGTTTTGTTAAATGAACTTCCAAATCCTTTTTTTTTTTTCAAAATTGCTTTTAAAATTAAGTCAAACATCTCACAAAGGTTTTGTTTACCTTTTTAAATGTTTGCAGGTAAAGTGTTGCAAGTGGAAGATGACCTGGTGATTTCTTTCCAGTTGTTGCTGTGTGTCTTAGATTATTTTATCAAACTGTCACCTCCTGCTATGCTCAAGGAACCGTACAGTAAGGATTTTAGCTTTTTGTTCACTGAAGTAGAATGTAAATTGGTTAAATTTCTATTAGTGTCATGCTCACATTCATCATTAATATAATAAAACTTCTTAAGCTTATTAAAATGGATTTTTTTAGGTTTTAGTTCAATTTAGATGATAGTGAACTTGAATTAAATTATCTGAATGTGGCAGTGTATTTAATATAATTCTTTTTTTTTTTTTTTTTCCTATTGCTGCCATCCATTTGCTGTGTCCTCTGCCCATACAGGTTGTTCAGGGGCTTGTTAAAACAGCAGTTTTACTTTGGTAAAAGAATTCAGGTTCTGGGTAGATGATGACTGAGAACTATTATTTAGGTTTGCTTTGAGTTACAAAAGGAAAAGATAGTGCTGTGACTGTTATTTCATTGACATATAACAGTATGATGACAACAGAAATGCATGAGATACTGAACTATACAGACATTTAAAAGAAATATACAGTGGATAGAAAAATAGCTAATTGCAGTGGTAGCTCAAAATAAATTGGTAGAGGGAAAACGTAGATAGCTTTGCTTATATTAAATCCCATTTGTTATGAGCAAGTGTCTCTATTTTAAGTAAAAATACAATGGGTTTTCACTATAGAAACTTCTTTTCAGCTGTAAGTTTGTGTATGTTCAGTTTTTATACCTAAAACCTGAAAAATCTCACTAAAAAGGCAGAGAAAGTAAGCATTTATGGTAACTTTCAAAGGTAGAATTCTATCTTTGTTGAATGCTTTCTTCTGCAAACTACGGAGTTGATACACTGAAGCATTTGGAGCCAGAGTATGTGGAAAACAATTTTTTTTTATACTAATTACTTTATCTTTTGCTGGCTTTGAGTGAGACACTAGTATTTATAATCTAAATCTATTTGCTTTGTTTCTGTGTTTGTTTCATGAATGAATATCCACTTGGGTTATAATGTCATAGAATAGGTGATGTATTCACTGCTATATTCTTTAAATTCCATGTTTTGGAGGATATTTATCTGATCTAGTAATTATTTGTCTCAGGTAAGAACAAGCAATCTCGCTTTTATTCTAATGACAATACAAATAAAGGGTGGGAAAGGACAGGCTTGTGGCAAGCAAATTGCCGCCGTCCTCCAGTACCAATTTGAATTTAAATTTGTCCTTCATAGTAGGGCAGACATATGCTGTTTATTTCAGATGTTATAAAGCAGATCTTTTTCAAAGAACACGGAATTGAAACTACCCGTTTTTGAACTCTGTGTTCACACTGATTTATTTTTTTAGTGTAACTATGGAGGCTAGGAGCTCATTATTAGAAGCAGTTTGGTTCTGTGCACTGTATCTTGAAAAGAAATGCTGCCACTTCAGACTAAATGGCAAATATGGGTATCACTGTCATAAGCATTAGATTTCTAACTTGAAGCTGTGTGGTATGTGCAGGTGCTGTGTAAACTGTCAAACAGCACTCCATTCTTTTAGCAAATAACACAATGTATTGTTCAAATCCTCATGACCAAGAGGCTTCACATTGTGCTAGATGATGTCAAGCGTTATGATCTGACTAAGGCTGAGGGGATTAAGATGCAGCCACCCGAGCAGTGCAATTTGTCAGATTTTCTCAGAACAGTTACCAAATACAAATGAAGTTACAGGTGAGAACAGCATGCTGATTAGAGTCTCAGTTTTAAACCAACAATTTTTAATTATATTAATGTATATTAATATAATTCACATATTTGAAGCTGACAATATTGAAGCCATCTACTTTGAACTTAACAAAATGAACTACTTTTACCTCACTGAATTAAGGTTTTTTGGTATCTTCTTCAAGGTGAACTTTTTTGCGTGGGGTATTTGGAGAAAGCAGGAATTCCCTGCAGAACCATATTCCAGGTTCCCACCAGCACTTAAGTCCTGCATTGACTTTATTAACCTTCAGGCACGTAGAGTGAAGTTACTTTTTCAGGTCTTTGTTTTTCACTTCTGTTAAAAAAAAAAAAAAAAAAAATAGTTACTCATCTGTGAAAAGATAAGGCTTTCCTAGCTCTGCAAACCAGATGCTTATTCAAAGCTACTTGCAAAAAGTGCTATTAATACATTCTGTGTTGAATAGCTTTTTAAAAACAGAATGTCCAAATACTCATACAGGAATTTAAAAATCAGTTTTCTTTTTGTATAGGTTTTCTGTAATGAAGGTTTCTTACCCAGATGAAAGGGAAATATTTAAGAAGAGGACCTGAAAAATCATATAATAATTTAAATCTCTTCTTTCTTAAGACAACTCTAACCTCGTGATGGTTCTGACTATCTTTTCAGAGTCTGCTGTGACTGCAGTGACTGTTAATGGTTCAGCCCGAACTCCAAGAAGAGGTCAGAACAGGAGTACACGTACTTCAAAGCAAAGCGATACTGATACGAAAGTTATTGAAGTCCTTTGTAAAGAGCATGATTGTAATTTAGATGAGGTAATGCGTGTGTTTTAAAGTCTGTTAGGTCTTGATGCTAAAACCCATCTGGAATATGCATATTTTTTTTTAAAAGGTCTTTTTAAATGTCAATACTTGTGCCTGTTTCTCTCAAGTTCAGTAGTAAAGATATTCTACAATTCTGTGGTTTCTCTAGTAAGTAGTTCAAAAAAAGAAAGAAAAAAAAAAACCAACCCCAAACAAGCCCTTTGATATGGGTGATAACTTTGCCAGGGAAACTAAACTGTGAAGAATGCAGTACGAAGTTACAAACTAATTGCAGCATGTAGACTGTGGATGCAGGGCTGCTCTGATGGGGCTTCACAGCTGCATCCCTTGATGAGAAAATGTACAAAACAAGCGCATTGCTTCTGCGTGGGATCTTAAAGACCCCATTTCCCTTATCCTTTGCTGATAAATCTAGTCCTTTTTACAAAGGAATAGATTTGATTTTTTGAATATCCAAGCAGATGATGGAAGCAGAAATATAAGAGAGCTGGGAGGAGTGCAGTTCTTCCCCAGTTTAGTCATGTAGTGTTCCAGGAATGGTTTATGTGCTGCATGCTTACATATCACTGTTTTGGATATGTAAGCAATTTCATTTATGCTACTGAAATCAAAACATAGTGCATTACAAAAGTGAATTTAAAGATGTGAAAGCAGTGTATGCATGTCTGCCTCTGTGCATTGCTAATGTTATGTTTTTTCTCTTTTTTTTTTTTAGGTCAAAAATGTGTATTTCACAAGCTTTATTCCTTTCTTGAATTCTATTGGTGTTGTAGCTTCAAATGGACTACCAGAGGTAATTGGAGGAATTTAAGACAGTTCAACAACAGTCCTTTACTTCATGCCAAATTGCTTAAGATTCCCTTTACACGTTGATGAAGTTTCTAATAGGTTGTTCTAAAATCATCTAGCAAAGTGCAGTGGTTTTTAGGAATGTAGCTAGCAGGGATTCCAGTATTTATTCATGGAGTATATTTAGCTTTTACATTTGAATTTAATAAATTAATTTCCTGAGGCCGAAACAGTGCTTTTGCTCAAAGCAAAACATGACATGAGTTGCATATCCGTGATCTTGATGAGCATTGATCTAAAATACAACTATTAGAATATCAGGTTTCTGAAGGTAGTCTGTAAATGTGTACAGTCTTAAATTACCCACCTTAGTTTAAATATAATTGAGACATGTTACTGTAGTCATGTTGGAGAGCTATCCAAAAGATTAGGCTCAGTTTCACATCTGGCAGAGTCTGAACTGCTGTGTCCCTGCAGAATTACTTTCATCTTGCTGAGTTGTAGCTTGGGTGCAGCAGACTACCTCTATGCAATCACACGCAAGAGTGCGCCTTAGTAGGTAACTTCTTGCAATGTGTTTACATCTATCATTCTTAAAAGAGTAGGTTTAGCTGTGTGTCACCAATCGATGCGGTAACCTGAAAATAAGCAGCTCTGAAGCTTATTAGACTGAAGGTCTGCAAGATTCAGCAAAGTATATGTTCTGTTCAGTTTTGTAGTGTGTTGGGTGGGGGACAAAATACAAGACCCACTGAAGATCTTAATCTTCCAAAATGAATTTAAGGGTATCAGCGGTCTGTTTAGACTTTTTAATTTATGAGTATATGTAGTTGGGAAGTCTTGCAAAGGTCATTATATAGCTTATTCTCAAATCAATGAAGGTTCTTATCCAAGGCTGTTCAGCTTAAGCATAGTGTCAAAGTTAATAGTCTAAGGCTCTGCTGTTGAAAATTGTATAAGATGATGCAGTCACATGATCCTTGCTTCTGAAACTTGAGTGCCTGAGGGGATGTTCTAAAACAAAGCAGAAAGTTACACCTATGTTTCAGAGGTAGTCAGTTCACATGTGTAATCCAGCTAACCATCAGTCATAGCTGAGATCATCCGTACAATAGCTAGTAATATGGGACATCTAAACAGACTTTAATTTTCATAAAAAACCACTGAGTTTTTGATAGATTTTAATGCTGCTTCCAAAATAACTAAAGCTTTTGAGACTTACTGTTGGTATTTCATTTGTCTTCACTGTGTGTTTGGTGGTCAGGCTTTATGAACTAAATAGATTGATTCAGAATTCTTATTTTTGGCTGAAGACTTCTTCCCAGTTAGCCCAGTGCAGCCATTTTGTTGAAGAGCTGCTGTTTTTTTGCAGTGAGATTCTGAAGTTTCTAGAAGTTTGTGAAGTACTGAAATATCTTAGACAAAAAGAACACATAAGCCATTATTTAGATAATGAACGATGAAAAAAAAAAAAAAGAACTTCTAAAATGAAACAAATAAAGGTGTTATAGGAATCTAAAGATAATCTTTGATTGAATAATCCTAATCTCAGTATTAACCATGAGATCAGTGTGGAGCAAATTAATTTGGCAAAGGTAAAAGGAGAGGATGAGGAGCAAAGTTGTGTAAGAGGTATTTGCAGCTTGTTTTTTCTTGGAACTTCGAGGGGACTAATTTGGGTTCATATACACTGTTGGGTTCGTATGCATATGTTCTATATATGTTCTGTTTCTATAGCAGGAGTTTGCTAAAGTACAGCATCTTTTAGTATGTTTAAAGGCTCAGGGAACAGATAATTGAGGTGCCTGCCTACTTATGCAGGAACACTGGAGCAGATTTGAAGTAGTATCTAGGCTAGTATCTGTCCCTGATTTTAAAAAAAAAAAAATAAAAAAAAATTGCAGACTTCCAGTTAGTCACTCAGAATAAAATAAAAAAAACCAACACCAAAAAAACCAACAAAATTTTCTGTGCAAAACCAAAATCAGATCAGTATGGGATCTAATCAACTAAGAAACTTCTACCAGTAATTTGCAAAACAACAATGTGGAATAACGGTCTATGTTTTTGTAGAAATAGGCACTTAAAAACCTACACCACTAGAAATATTAATATGGAATGGAGAAGCTCTTCTTACACTCAGAACAGGAAGGTCTGAGTTTGGGTCTTGGCCTTTTTCTCAAAACCAGCAGAGACAGGGTCCGAGTGGATTGTCTGGCAGCTGTTCTAAGGACGTTTATGCTACATTTCCTGCTCTTAGAGACACTTTTTTCTTCTGGAAGGAAAGATTTAAAAGCCTGGAAGCATTAGTTTGATTTGAAGGTCTGTGTCTCCCACTCTAGCTATTTTTAGCTCTTTTGCAGTGTCAAGGCCTACATTTCTTCAAGAAAGTCTTATGGTCTTGGATTGTTTTCTCTTCTAAAAGATTATCTTTGTTTGCGTGTGGGAACGGTAATTTTCCTCTGGGTGTGTTTCAGCTATTTGTCCAAGAAGTGACTTTGTGAGCTTCAAGGTCGTTCTCTTAGCAATTCAGCACTGTATTCATGAGGTAGGACTAGCTTATATTATTCAGTAAATTGTTGAACTTATTGCTATAAAATAAAGGGGTTTTTATCAATGTTTTTTGAGGTTGAGGTTCTCTCGAAACAGTATGATGAGCTCTATCTCAACAACAAAGATATAGACGCAAGATTATTTCTGGATCATGATGAAACTCTACAGCCTGATGTCATAGCATGGTAATTTCCATTTACTACTTTCATTTTATAATGGAAAATCTGAACTTGGGTTGATTTCTCCCTTTGCCCCCCTGCTGCGTGTTCTAAATTGGGATCTCTGTATCCTGTTGATCTCCTAGGTTTGCACTTCAGCTAAGATATTTCTGGCAACCCCAACCTTGCTTTACGTTATAGCTTAAATAATTAGAAAACACATGACTGTGAGTCTACCTAAAATGATTTGGAAGCTCTACTTTAATTCTTACTCTGTGCAAGCACTTGTGGTCAATGGGAAGCTGAGGAATCGTGAGGAGGAGGCGGCCAAGGCCATGTCATGCTAGTTGATTAGCCATGTCTGAGGCAGTGTTACGCCTCTGGGGCTAGATGACATGGAATGGCATGGCTCCAGATCCTCCTTCCTAAAACCAGATGGTGGCATTTGGAAGCTGCTTGCTGGCAGTGGTCCTCAGCCCGTTCTGACCTCTGACCTGTACCCACAAATTGGGGAGTGGTAATTTGCATGGGACAGAAATGGTTTGGCAGGATAAACAGTTAAGTACCAATGCCCAGGCATATTCCCTGGTGCTGTTCAGTAATATAGATGTCATGGGCCTGTTGGAGCAGGCCCAGAGGAGGGCCACAAAAATGATCAGAGGCCTGGAGCACCTCTCCTATGAGGACAGGCTGAGAGAGTCGGGGTTATTAAGCTTGGGGAAGAGAAAGCTCCAGGGCGATCTTATGGTGGCCTCTGAGTACTTGAAGTGGCTTATAAGAAAGATGGGGACAAACTTTAGCAGAGTTTGTTGCGGTAGGATAGGGGTAATGGTTTTAAACTAAAAGAGGGTAGATTTAGATTGGATGTAAGGAAGAGGGTTTTTTTTTTTTTTTGCAATGAGAGTGGTGAAACACTGGAATAGGTTGCCCAGAGGGGTAGTAGATGTGCCATCCCTGGAAACATTCAAGGTCAGGTTGTATGGTGCTCTGAGCAACCTGATCTAGTTGAAGATGTCCCTGCTCATTGCAGGGGAGGTTGGACTACGTGACTTTTAAAGGAAACGTCCAGCCTAAACTGTTCTATGATTCTATTTGATTTTTTTTTTAAGTCGTATGCTTTAATTCCAGTGGTTCCTGACAATTCAACATTTCCACAACTTGATGTGAGCTCACAATGTAAATCTGTAACTTTACCTATGCTAGAAAAATACATTCATTTACAATTGGATTAAGAGGGAGCTAATACCAGCTGTATATGTAAATTAAGCTGTTTATAAGTAGAATTCTAGGAAAAAAAAAAAAAAGTTGGAAGGGAACTTTGGAGGTCATCTAGTCCAATACCCCCTGCAAAGCAGATCTACTTGGGAATTTAAATTACATTGTTCTAATGACTGGAGTTGACATCTAGATCTTCTAAAAATCTGTTCCACCATTTTCTCTTCAGTTTAATAAGTCTTTATAGAAAATGTTCTTTTTTGAATTATGATAGTTCTTCATAAGTTTGTTTTCCATTTCTGTAGCTCACAGTTGGAGAGGACACCAGTCAAAAACAATCCAGATGAGGAACTTAATCCTATACTTCCACAGACTCCTGTTAGGTATGGGTTTTTCTTTTAAGCTATATTCTTTTTTTTTTTAATATCCTAACTAGAAACATTCATCTTCAGAGTAATTGTTTTAATTTTAAAGCAACTGTTGGTTTTTTGTTTGTTTTGTTTATGTTTTTTTTTTTCCCCTCCCCATAAAACAGACTTGTTCTGGTGACTAATGAGCAGTAACATGTACTGAGGGGTGCTGAGTGCCCTCAGTTCCTGGTGAAATTGTTGGAAAACAGAGAAAGCTTTTTACTGAGTTGTCTGAGAAGTGCAAGATGTCTGTAAAATAGATTACTGTATTTGTTCTTGTGAGAATGCAACTGTATCCTTCCATGGCATACTTCTGTCTTCCTTTCTCACCTTTGCTATGGCTCTGTATCTTCTGGCTTCCTTTCCCGATACCAAATTGTATGTGCACACACATTTCTTCTCCCATGATCTTTTTCCTCTTAGTATTCTTTTTTTTCCTGTATTGGGAAGATCAACATTTCAGAGTGCCAACATGTTTTGGTCTATTGGGAAAATGGACAGATATGGTAGAAATGTGGTATTAATTGGTGATTACTTGGTCTACAATCAAATACAGAAAAACTGCAAAATTGAATTTGATTAATGAAAGGAAAGGAGATCTGCATGTACCATTTTTCCCTTGTGAAATACAGCTTTTTGTCAAAATTGGTATCACTTTGCCTGATGGTACTTAGAAATTCCTCGACACTCAAGAACCAGCTGTGTCACTTCAATGCCACGTGGACAAACAGAGAAGTGTCCCCACAGGCAGTCATTCTTAAGGTGTCAGGTTTAATAAAATCAGACAGTGAAGTTCTTGTTCCATGCTTGCTGTATAAATGCCTCTCATTTTAACATGCTGTAGAGATGAGGGAAGTTAAAATACTGTACCTTTAATTATTACTTCAGTTTTCTCAAATGAGTAAAATTATTTTTGTTTTTATTAAAAATACTTCTGCAGTCTTTATATGCATGTGGAAGAATGAATTAGACTCTAGGATTGTGCATCCATTATAAATCTAGTAAATACCATCTGCAGAAACGAATTGTTTTCTAGCCAACAGAGCAGTAAGGTTCTGAAAGATTCTTCTGAAAAAGTCTAAAAGGAGACATGCATCTGAGATAGATATTGAACTGTATATGAAAGAACTTTTAATCACCTGTGACTGCAGAAGGTTTATTTGATTGCCTCAGTGATCCCTTTTAGTCTTATGCTTCAAATATTTAACTGCTAGTGATGCTTTTTTAGCCATACATCAGTTTGCCTTTTGGTTCCCAGACTGAATGTGCAGTATCTGGAACTAGACTATCTAAAACATGCAGTGTATTTAAAAAGAAAGTAATTGACAACAAATCCCATTTTTGACAAATACAGGCAGCTGTTGACAATTTTCAATTATACTAGAATTAAAGCCCTCTAACACTGTGAAAGATGCTTCATTAAAGTTCTAGACATGGAAGGCTTATTAAGAAAGTCCATGAGTACCAAGCTTCTGCATTGCTAAAAATTTGAAATGTACTAAACCAACTTTGATCTTCAGAGGAGTTCTAGTGAGATATTTACATTCCCTCCATCCACACTTGGGCTTTTCTCTGAGTTATCCAGAACTGATGCCATTTAGGACAGTTCGAGTGAAGGTTTATTCACCAGCGGTGATTTGGGCTATAGTAACTGTTTTTCATAAAGCCACAGAACTGTCACTAGATGGCAGTAAACCTCTGATCACCAGCGTAGAGTGGGCAGTGTATCATTAACTCTCCTTGAATTAAGTAGAACCCCTTACAGGTTATATTGAAAGCCTGGTACTTACTACTTTTAATCCTCTTATAATGTTTTCTTTCTGGACTTAGACACTTAGGATCTGCTCTGAAGCTCTCTGGAACTGGTGAGAATCTAATAATTTTCACCAGTGGAGTTGTATCTGGTCATTTATATAGAAAGCGGTAGATAAAATGGGTGTAAGTACTAGTCCAGAGCATAGCAAGAACAGGTTGTGTGTTTTCATTTTAGTTTTTTCCACTGTCCTTATGCTTTTCCTTATCACTAGTAGAGGTTTGGCAGAACTGATTTTACCAAAACCTTCTAAGAAGTAAATTAAAGAAAAATGCATCTTTGCACTACTACAGTTGTAACGATTGAACATATTTTCCTTTTTTCTCCACTTATTTTCTGAGTGATATGAGCCATTTTGAGGTTAAATAGCACAGAGATTTAAAACAAACAAACAAAACCCCACCAAAAACCACAATGACAAATTCGGAAAGTAACACCACCACTGAAAGAATCAAACTGTTTCTGAGATGGTAGGAGAGAAATTAATATGCGAACCTTTCTAAATGAATAGGAACTTAATGCTATTGCTTAATACCCAACTTGAAATATGTTTAAAAAATAGTCAGGCCACATTAGTACTTATGGATGTACTGGATATATTATTAGTTCTGTATGTATGTGCAAATAATAAAGGCAGAACAATACATGATATCCCCAAAAGCTGGAAATGTGGGCTGCTTAGATGCTAGCTCATGCACATATGATCTTGTCATAAAGGACAAGATTATTGTTCTTATTTTCCCACCTATAGATATTTCAGTCACCTCCTGGATAATACATACTATTTGACAAGAGGCCATGTTTTGTTATCATAAAATAATGATCTTTCTGAAAGTCATGAAAAATGTTTGTCATCAGGATTTCGTTTCTAGAAGAGAAACTGAAAAATGCTTTTTTCGGAGAGATACACACTCACCCTAACAAGGCATTTGACTTTGGAGTTAACAACAGGAACCTTTGCACTTGTCTTCAAAGTATTTGTAATTCTTTAAATTATTACAACTTTTCTGAAATACTGCTGTTACTTGGGTTAGCTTTAGTAGTTTACTATATTAAGACCTTGGATATGAATCCAGTGAATATTACTTGTGGTTTTGAATCTGGTTTCAGCAAGAAAATTCTGGGCATTAGGTAAAGATGCAAATAGTTTTGATGTCAGTGTTTTTTGTGGTTTTTTTTTTTTTCACTCTGTACCTGTAAAATAATGCCAGTAAGACCGTATATAGAGGCATACTTCAATACTTCAGTACATCCAAGTTAATAAAATGTTAATCATCTAGACAATAAAGAACACTGGAAAACTTCTTTATTGTCCACATCCTTTTCCCTGCCCATAGTACTTTAAAAGTTAAGAAAACTTTATATTTAAGGTCCTTCTAACCTAGCTACAGATAGAGCAGGTAGAATAAGGATTACAGGAATTGTAGCTTTTCTGATGGAAATAGAAGGAATTGGAGTTAAAGTAAGAATTTAAGTTTTAATGTGACTCTTGGGTTCCGATCCAGGGAGGGATAAGACTCTGTATTGTCATCCTGTTGCCAATAGGAACAGCTCTGCCTCTAAAAAATGTGGGTTTTTCAAAGCATCTGTTTTAAAAAGGCTGTATTTTCTTGTGACTGCCATATTTTAAAACATCTTTCTTACTACACCTGTGAACATAAAAGCTGTCTTCATTCACCAGTCTTTATTTTTGTACAAAAACCAAAGAGTGTTTTTGATAGGCAGTTGCTTGATTTAACTGAATATTTTCACGTACAAGGATTGCAGTTCCACGGTTTTACTGCTTTTAAAAGTGCTTGTTAGTGTTTGTTACTTAATTTATGTTCTTTTGGTTATTTACTTATGGATTGTAATCATTCTAATAATTGGATGATTAGATAAATTAGATTATTAGAATTCACAATGGTTGATACAGTACAGCAGTTTTTCCCAGCAGGTTATTTCATAACTGGGGTGAGAACTAACATTTTTTTCTTGTTTGTTTGTAGCATTGCTCTTCAATTTCTGGAAACTGTCAAGCCAACCTTAATGTTTATTATGCATTTTATTGTATTTTCCAGAGCTGCAATGAATAACATTCAGCAATTGATTATGATTTTAAACTCAGCAACTGATAAACCGTCAGATACTCTCATCGTATATTTCAATGTAAGTCACTAGAAGGAAGATTTGTGAAACATTCTTGGAATTCTCACTCAAATAAGATATACGCCTATAGATATGACGTGTGTTTTGGGAAACTCCTTTATTAACAACCATTTATTGAAGAAGTACATTTTAATTGGGCAGGTTTAAATGTAATCATCTTAGAAAGCACTTCTATACAACTGATGTGTACTGCAACCTTGTAAGTTCTTAAATGTTTTTGTTACTACACTAAATATTAAGATTTATTTATGTATGTATCAGATGGAAAAAGAAGGGAATATAAAAGGAAGACAAAGAGGAGAAGGAGGGTATACTCAGAGGATCTCATGTCCACATTCAGCAACTTAACTTTAAAGGCATTAACATTGATGGTACTACTTGTGTATTCATTGGGTTAGTTGCAGCTAACTGCATGTGAGACTTGAAGTTGTAGTTACTGGAAACTTTTGAACGTATTCAATGGTTCTACTTTTTTTTTTTTAAATACTCCACCTTTATTTATGCTGATGAGCTGATTGAGAGATGTTACAAAGTGAAGCAGGACTAATGTGATTAAATCATTAAAATGTTTTTGAAGTAAAATGTCCTTTCTTTGCCTTTCCTTCCCCTGCCCTCCTTCCTGAACTTTATTAGAATTGCACAGTGAACCCTAAGGATAGTATCCTGAGAAGAGTGGAAAGTCTTGACCACATCTTCAAAAAGAAATTTGCTGAAGCAGTTGGACAGGGATGTGCTGAAATTGGTGCACAGGTAACTAGCGTTTTGGTTGAATATTACTCATTTGAACTCTGTTGGTAGTAGTTAATGTGAGACTTGACTTACTGACTGTCCTCCTTCAGTGCAGATCAATAATGGTAAAACGTAGCAATATTCTTTTCAACTTGAAGAATGGACAGGTATTATTTTCTAGAGCAATAGGAACTGGGTGGAGATATGTTGGAAATACTTTAATGAAGAATGGGAAAATTGCTGGGCAAAATACATTTGGAGAAATGTATATTTGCATTCATTAAGGTAAGTTAGCTTAAAACTGCAAAAGGTGTCTCACTTCCTAGTAGGCCAGCTGTGCTTTCAACAAGGATTCTGGAAAACAAATCCAACCAAGTTTGTACTCGACAGTCTCCTGTCAGCCCTGCTTTTTAGCCTGTTAGCTGTGAATCAACGTAAACACTTGATGAAGCCTTTATGTGGTTGGGGTAGCCACAAACCTTAGTAGCCTTTGAGGCTTCTCCAGTGCTATTGGGAAATGGAAATGGGGACAATGACTTCTTCATAATGGCTCTTCTAAAAAATGGAAATGTTCTGAATTGTTAAAACACATGAGTTTGCCTGTTGTAGTCTTTTAAAACATCTTGTAATATTCTTTAATTTCTTCTTTGTTAACAGAGATACAAACTTGGAGTACGTCTGTACTACAGAGTAATGGAGTCTATGCTTAAGTCGGTAGGTTTAGTACTAGTAGCTTAGTACTGGCATTGCATTTACAAATACTGAGAATATTCACAAGTTTGGTTTGATTTATATATTTCAGGAGGAAGAACGCCTCTCAGTGCAGAATTTCAGGTATGTGCCCCTAACTTGTTATTGAAGTCTGCTGTTTTAGTGTTCAGACGCTTATTAATAACTTACTTTCTCTTCAGCAAACTTCTGAATGATAACATCTTCCACACATCTCTCCTGGCCTGTGCTGTTGAGGTTGTCATGGCTACATATGGCAGTAAGTTGAATTTAAAGTCCTAAATAGCATTGTTATTTATTGATAATTATTGCTATTTGTTCTAACACATAAATACAGTAAATAGCAAAAAAAAGAAGTACTCACTGAAATTTCTGAACTAGCAATGATTCAATAAATACAAAAAGGAAAAAAAAAACATCAGAAGTGAAAGAATGTAGTACTCTTCATAATTTTACTTCATTTTCCCTGTAGGAAATGCTTCACAAAGTGATGGTAGCAGTGCTGAAACAGACTTGTCTTTCCCATGGATTCTTAGTGTATTTGATTTACAAGCTTTTGACTTCTACAAGGTGATTGAAAGCTTTATTAAAGCAGAGCCAAGCCTAACAAGGGAAATGATAAAGCATCTAGAACGCTGTGAACATCGAATTATGGAGTCTCTTGCTTGGCAATCTGTAAGTAATGCTTTAAAGTTGTATTTGTCCTTGTGTAATGTGTATATCTAGAAAAAGGAAATCACACCCAACTCTCTAAAATAAGTTGTGGTTTTGATGAGATTTATTTCTAGCAAAATAAATTAGAAGAGCAAAACAAGATTAATTTTGGCATGTCTTCAGGTTTTGAAAAAAGGAGTATATCAGAGGAAGTCTACATAGCTCTGCTGATTTACGTGGTTGTAAGCCAACATCATCTCACTAGTCTGGCATGAATCTTAAGGGTAATAGCCTTAAACAGTATTTTGGTGCCAAAGACAAGGCAATAAATTCTGTGCTTTATTTGTAAGATAATTTTTATCCAGTTACTATTCCCACTTGGCAATAGGGCCTTAGTTCTGTGCATCTGATGCTTGTTAATAGTACTTAAAATATTGATTCACATTGTCCTTTGTGTTTCAGTCACTTTAGTATTTTTGGATGCCATTAAAATAAAACAGTGGGAGGTTGGGTTGGGTTTTTTTAGGCTGGATCTCAGTAAATCAAACACTGTTTCTTTATATTGTATGTTACTTATAAACCAAAAATATGCTATTGATGCCACAAAACAGGAGACTATAAAGACTGCTAATTTTGACCAGAGAGACATAAAGTGACTGTTAAAGAATCCGTCCCATATCTTACAGTTCTGGGAAGTTTAAAAAGCACAGTATATCATGGCTAATGGGATAGTTTAATCATGAAGCAAGTTTTATTTTTAAGGTCATCTGTGCTTGGTTTGTGTATGACTTCAGGGTGAAAAATCAATTATTTTCTAGAGTAGGTGATAGTTTACTGGAGTGTGGGGTTATACTTGTGGATTTGGGGAACACTGTTGTACCTGAGCAGCAAGAGCCCCATCCATGTTCAGGTTTCTAGCTCAGGAGAAGCACGCTGGCCTCAGGGGCTATGGAAGCAATTGCCGTGCTTCAGACTGAATCTGATGGACCGCCTTGTGCCAACCAGCCCTTGCTACTTGATTTCCTTTGCCAACACACTTAATGGGGACATGTCAGGCCCTGAATATGCCCTGTTATGAAGGTGACCTTTGCACTGGGGGAGCCAAGACTTCTGTATCCAGCTCCACGGTCATCACTGGCATTCTACGTGCCCCAGGATTTCTGGTGTGGTGCTATGGCTGCTGTACCAAAGTGTAATTTTTCCCTCTATAATGCTTTTGCATGTTTGTTTGATGTCTTGGGAAATGTACGTGGCCTTTCCATTGCTGTATAAATTTCTTCATGGATTTGCTGTTCTTTGAATAAGACCACCTGAAAGCACTTGAGGCTGAGAGCCTTTTACCAGAGCCTAAAGAAACGGGGAAAACAAGGCAGTGTTTCAGGAGGCAGGCAATATTTTAAGAAGCTTGCAGGCATATAAAAAGTGCTTATTTGAGAATTGTAACGGTCAGAGGACAAAAGACAGATGTACAAATACCCAAGTTTGACTCTGTACAAGCAAAAAGTGGCTCCTGCTGTCTTCTGCAAACCAGTTTGAAATCAGTTTACTGATCAGCTATAAGCCGTATCTATCAGTTTCTACCCAGTAATTCAAGCACTGCATGCAGACAAACTGATTTGGACTTGAGCTTTCAGACTGGAAAATGCAAAGCATTGTGTCTTCAGAAATTATAGATGTAGTTGCAGGCTTTTGTGGAAAAAAAAAAAAATTGTAACATCAACAGCAAGCGCAGGATTATTTCGAGCTTTCCGAGTGCTCTGTTTGAATGTATTTAAATTGAATCCATCTTTTTGAGTTGCCAGAGGTTTATGTTTGGTACTGTTTTGGGGTGGCTTATGTAGCTGATTTGAGTGTTAACAGAATGGAATAGTTCACTTGGAAGGGACGTACAGTGGTCATCTACTGTCGGTAAGACAGGTGAAGCGGAACACAGTGGCGGGGATAAAAAGAAATGTGCAGTACACATATCCAAGGGCCCTTCTGCTTCACTGGCCTGAGTCATGTCTCACTTGCCTGGATCTCCCCAAGCGCAGGACAGCCTGTGGTCTCCAGAGGTTTGTCACTAGAGGGCACAGCAGGATTTCCTCAAAAGCTAAGGGAAGCTGTGGCAGCCAGCTACGGGCAGTTGGAGCCTGTGTACAGGCACCCTGAGATTCTTCGTTGGCCTCCATTGCCTCTTCCAGCTGCCCATAAGGGAAAGGCTGCGAGTTGCAAGCAGCAGACTGTACAGTGGTGGCTCAGGAGATGAAGCATGGTTTGGGTTGGAAGGGATCTTGAGAGGTCATCTAGTCCAATCCCCCTGCAATGAGCAGGGACATATTCAACTAGATCAGGTTGATCAGAGCCCCGTCCAACCTGACCTTGAATGTTTCCAGGGATGGGGCGTTACCTGTGTTAAAATGCCTTGCTGAGTCTCTGGGTCACTGCATTGTAAGGCCCATACATTGTAAGGCTGTGCATAGAAATGTAAAGCCATGAGTCCTCTAGTGCAGAAAATCCACCCTTACCTCACATCTAAATATTGACTGGTTTAGTCTAAAAAGTGTAATGTATTAGCAACAGAAGAAAATGCTTCCATGGCTGACTTGGAAGGCTGTTGAGGTCCGGTGTCCCCCAAGGGTTCAACTAGTGAACAAAGGAGTGGTTCACCATATTCTTCTGCAGTTCCTCGTCTGGATATTGTCTCACTACCTGGGTATTGTCAGCACGTAATGGTGTACAAGACTTACAAAATGTCTGCTTAATTAGTAATTCCCTCAAGAATAGGTAGGCAATTAGAGAAGTGTAGTTTGTACCAATAAATATCTCTTACCTCCAAACACAGGAGGAGAGAAAAGCCACATGACTTGTGCTTAGTCATAAAGAGTATCTCACCATAAGAGATTGCCTTGGGTTAATTTTAAACAAATGACCTGATAATCCAGAAAAGATGGAATCTCAAGAAGGTTCAAGTTTCCTAATATGGTTAGAGGATTTTTTTTGAAAAGTGTTAAAATGAAGAAAAGCATGGAATGAGTAAAGCTTATGCAAAAAAAAAAAAAAAATCTAGCTTGGTAAATAAGAATAGAAACACTTGAAAAATACTTATTTACAAATATTTGCACAATGCAACTCCGATTCCCCCAATTATTTGCTGTGGTGGGTTTTTTTTTTCAGTTCTTACCTTCCCCCTCAGGTAATACATTTCAGTACAAGGCTTCTCTGCTTTTTGGAAAGTCAGGTGTGTATTTAACCAGTCTTTCCTCATTCTCATGACTACTTTAGGAAGCAGGACTTCAATATGAGATTTAAAGAGACTGAACAATTGAATACAGAATAGCTTGAATTTACGGTAATTTTTTTACATGTCACAGAACTTTTGTGAGGGAAAACGCCTTGCAAATTTCTCTGAAGAAAAAAATCTTAAGTACATCTGACCTTTATCTGACTTTGGAAGCTGTATTGAATGAATGTGAAGGATTCTGTTTCTTACCGGTATTCGAAGATAATGTATCACTCCTTTGCTGGTCATTGTGAATATGTTTATTGCTTTTGCATAGCTAGCTGATTTAGTCATCTGTCCTTTCAGAAGGAGATGAAACTTTTCTAGGTCATCCTTTCTTTTAACATAAAAAGCATAGCTAGACAAAATAAAGGATGGAAAAAAAGTTGGTTTCTTCTCAATAATTCTTAATTTTGAAAAGGGGAAGGTGTGCATACTGACTAAATCATGTGGAAAATACCTCCTTTTCCTTAAATCTTTATTGAACTCTGAAGAAAGAAGCCCCTTTTATCCACTCAAATATTATTTACCAGTGAGGTTCTGATGCTTCCAGGTGCAGATCGTTTGGAGTTTAGAATATGGTAATAATGCTGCACAGTTTTTATTGGCAAGGCAGAAATATACTGTACAACATTCTTTCTTCACTGTAGAACATTGTGCTTCATTCAGTGCTGTATTTTGGGCACTATTTTAATTTCGTAACTTTAAAGGGAACTGAAATTACTTTAGACTCAAAAAAAAAAAAGGTGCCTATAGCCTTTGATTCATTTTTATCGTATTTATATAAATATGATTTAAACCCTAGCACAGTTAAAATCTTTCCCGTGGAATGGGTAATGGCAGCTTGTTACCTGCCAGCCTGGGAGTTCATGCTCAGCCTTTTTCAGAGTTCTGTCAAAGTAATCTCTCTTGTGGCCAGTCAAAAAAGTAATTGTTTTGAATATAGAAGGTTGTGTGAGCAAATTCCAGAATCTCTGAATTTGCCTTAGTGAAAGCCTTGTGAGCTGCTGTGCCACTGCTTGATACAGTGTGCTAGGAAGAAGCAGGGAAGAGCACGTTTTCAGTGCAAGTAAATAGAATACAAAGTCTATCAAATTTCATGATCGATTTTAAGAGCGAAATACCTATAATACCTAAAATGCATTTGTTTCTGGGAACAGCATGGTTTGGGTTTGTTGTGTTGTGATTTTTTTTTTTTCTTCCTGCTGTATCATTTTAAAAAATAAACACCTGTAGAGTATCTTTATTATCTGTATCTGCAAAGCAATCCAGTTTATTTCCCTGCCTCTCAGCTTGCACCCTGCTTGTAAGCTGTGAACAGGGAGGAGCAGGCTGGTGTTAGATTTCTTTCATACTGCTGCTTAGAGAATGTGCTTCCTGCAAATGCCTGTTCACATGTACAGTAGGTGAAGAGTGCGGAGCATACACGTTCTAAATCATCACATTTGGCATACTTAAAATAGCTTGGGCAATGCTGCAAAATACTTTTTCTGCAAGCCAGTTTTTGGTGAGCCAGAGATGAGATGTATGAAGCGCTTTCGCTCCATCAAGCTTCAGCTGCCCAGTACTGGGGTAGTGAAGGGGTCTCGTTCTTCTGCACTGGAGTTGCAGACCAACTGCAACCTTGTCCAAGGATAAGATAATTCATGCCAGTCCAGTAAGGCAAGCTAGAGAAAGAAGCACGACCATGCTTTCCTGGTTAGCTCTGCAGATGGCAAAATGTTCTCTTCTGAACTTGATAACTCATCCATAGGAGCAC